CGCATAAGGACTTCGCCACAGTGAGTCCCACCCATTTGTCCCCTTCCGGAAAACTGTTTTTCAAAGTCGAGTCTGACAGATATTATGGAGGATTGCAACCGCTCTATAATATCGTTTTCTTTTTACGAAGAAGTTTATATGGACCACTATATGTATATTGCAGGTATGTCGAGAAGTTGGTCGAAGAAATAGAAGCAAAGAAAGGATTGGAGGGACGATATAAGAAGTACGTTGCTTGAGCTTGTCGTTTAGCAAATCTTACGCTTCTGTTATGTTTGCATTATAGCATCGTTGACAATATCTAATTGCTTGAAATATTATAGCTCATTTGTCATTTCTACCCACTTTTCCGCGTTTCATCGACACTCCTTTTTTTCTTTACTGCTCTCTTTCCTTGCTTCGCTGCACTGGTTTATTTTATTTTTTGTTTCAAAACGACAGTTTTTTTCAAGGATGCAATCTCTCATGGTTGAGAAACAAAATGAAGCTCGCGAACAAACTGCAAAAGCTGGACAGTCTTTGCAAGCTCTTGTGACATCTACTAAGCTTCTTCAGAAGCAAGTGGGTGATGTTGCGAAGATTGTTTTTCTTATGTTTCAAGATTTTTCATATCGGCGTTATGCCTGAATATGAAAATCAATAAGAGTTTTCCAGTTGGAGGAAGAAATTTCGAAGAAGTACGACGGAAGGAGAGTAAATATCATGGGTGGCATTACCGCAGCTCTTGCTAGTCGTTAATTGTTACAGAAGAGCTCTCTAATAGTGGGAGACTTATCTAGGTTTTGTTGAGAGTATTTGGTTGTTGTCATTTTTCTTTCTAAGATTGTTCTATCACATATTAGTACTTCCGTGCCTGATTCCACATTTTACGTCCACCTCTTTCTTAAAGTGTAGGTGATACCTTGTTCTTTTTGTGATAATTTCGTTGTGATACTCATAAGTATCCACTTTCCGCATATTTATTTAAATTCTATGCTTACTGGTCAGTTTGTTTGTCTATTATTGTGGAATTTCTTCCGATTCATAAAAGCAGCTCTTGCAAACTTTTAAAGATGAACGGCTTAGATGAGAAAAGAACGCCAGCTGTAGGTTAGAAGGCGCTAGTTTTTCTAAGAGGCTGTGTTCATAGATAGTGATCGTTGACGAGTAGAAGGACATTTGAAGGGTGAGTGTTCGTTGTAGCAACTGGTCCTTAGAAGCTTATAAGAAAGTGTGTGTCCTACCTCCCATACCTAGATATTTATCGATTTGTTTTCTCATCTTTTCGATCGCTCTGGTGCTCAATTATACCTAACCCCACAATGCATTCGTCAAGGCCCTTTTCGAATTGCTTCTATTTTGATTAGATTACTTCTCGATATGTTCCTACCGACAAGTTCCATTTCAACCAGAGTGGGCAGCACAATTTGATGCTCAAAGGTTAGGATAAGCTGCTAGAGGTACATTTGAGCTCTGTCGACAAAGCATTCCTATTATAAGTTTAACGTACACTTTGGGAGTATGGCATAGAAATGCAACAGTGAGTCATAGTAGAGGCGGAGCCTGTGAATACCCCTAATGAGGTCAGCCATGCGTAACGAGGCATGATCGGAGGGCATAGAAGGGGCCGACACGGGAAAAGTGGTAAACATAAACCTGAAAGCCCCAGAGTATGTTAACTGTCAACACGGCAGGGGTTCTCACACGAGTAAAAGGTCCGTTTGGATAGCTATTCTACCGTCATCCAGAGGCGAGGGAAGCAGAGAAATCACGATTGTTTGATTTCGCACAGGTGTTTCGGGATTGATTAGTGATGTTAGCCATCAAACGGATGTGTGGCAAACTACGACAGCTCAAGATGGAGTGTAATGTTTCCAATGGATAGCACTTCTCTCTCAAATGTCTCTCAGGACTCCTTCGAACACATCACAGGGCATCCAGTTAACTACAGAACGATTCTGGCAGTAGGAAGCAGGGATGATTCGCGGGGAGGCCATACTAGGTAGACCCCCGGATATGATCGAACGCATACCTCTACCGCTGTTATATATAATTACCTTATTCCAACTCTGTAAAGGGAAGGGAAGATGGGAAGATGTTTGGCTATTTTCCAACGCCTACGAGTGGGACAGATTTCATCATCGGGGCGCGGTATAAAACATGAGTCACGGCGACTGATAGCGCTTAAGCGGTTGCTCTCGTGATCTGTTTTTTCTTGCTTTTTTCTTGAACTATTTTCTTCTTTCCTCCTTACTTTCGCTCCGTATCTTTTTGTAGCACAGTTAGGATCAAGTTGAATCTAGTTCTGGGTTTGAATTGCAACTTTCTTCGATGTTATTACCGATTACGTCCGCCCTCATAAAATTTTATTTCATCACCCAACGATCGTAAATTTATATCTATTTCTTTCCAGGAAAGTAATGTCTATCAGTTGGGGAGCACAGTATCCAAAATTGAAGACTAATCTTCGATTAGCCATTAATCGACTGAAGTTAATGGGCAAGAAGAAGACGGAAATGGCCATGAAAGCACGAACAGAAATAGCTGAATACATATCAGGTAGGAACATTTGTGTGTGACAACTTTTCCTGCTTCGATTACGAGTCGGTATTTGGGGTGCTGCCCCAATGTTTCCACAGCTTGCACTCCCATTGAATCCAAACCGAAAGGTCTTTGTTGAACGTTCTCCTTAAAGTCCTTCCATGGGATTTTACCTACATGTTATCATTGCAGCAAACAAAGCTGATCGAGCACGAATTCGTGTTGAACACATCATACGAGAAGATTATTTGGTGGAAGCATACGAAATTCTGGAAATGTACTGTGATCTTCTTCTGGCGAGGTTCGGTTTGATAGAGCAGATGAAGTGAGTTTCTAAGGATCAGTTCAAGAATTTGTTCTAAAGATAACTTTTTATTCAATCGTCTCTAGAACTCTGGATGACGGCATCGCTGAGGCTGTGATCAGTATATTATGGGCCGCTCCACGGGTCGCCACTGACATTGCAGAATTCAAGGTCTGGCCATGGGCTTTTGCCATTGTGCTTCATTATGTGAACAACTCTTCTAGACAATAAGCGACCAACTTACTGTGAAATACGGAAAACCTTTCGCTGAAGCCGCTCGAGCAAATCAGTTGGAGTTTCCAGCTAAAGTCTCACCGAAATTAATAAGCAAGTTGTCTGCGGCTGCCCCTCCGAAACTGTTGGTAGAAAGGCAAGTCTAAACCTTTTAATTTGGTTGACGTGAACTTTTGTCCTGCAATGCTAGACGAGACCCTTTTCGAGCAAAAGCCTAATCGATCTGAATCTCAAAGCCCTGGTATTGGCACGGTTCCATTTGCCGCGATTCGTGCCCTGATGTGGGAATGATTCCGGAGCTTACTGAAGGAATTTTTTCAGACTCTTTAGCGGTCTAGAGTTTTTATGTTGAACACTTCGCAGAAATGTAGTATTTGGCTTTGTGTAACTTCGTCATGCTGATTCCTTTTATTTTTACGTAACAAAAGGGAATTTCTAGTGAAGAAACTCCTCAAAGCTGATTTTAAGGGTCTAGAGCAAAAAAACCTCGCTGTTTGCGCTCTCTTCATTGGCAGGTTCCTCTTTGATAGGAATGTTTCAGATTAGGAGGGATCCACTGTTGGGATTCAGATGATTGCCAAAATCCAACTGATGTTCTTAGCTTATACACGTGTAGGATGTGCAGGCTTTGTGTACATTCACTCCTGTGGTACAGAACTTTTGTAGTGTATTAGGGCCTTCTGTTCAGGTATATGATTGAGATAGCTGCAAGTGCTGGTGTTCCGTTTGTACCAGATCCCGATGTGATGCGAGACGATGAAGTTGCTCAAGCGGAGCAAATGTTGATTGATTTCAAACAAGCTGGTTCCACTGGATTTAACGCTGGTCAACCTATAGCTGCACCACCTCCACCTTCCATGACTGATGTGAGGAACATTTTTAACAAGTTTATGATTTTTTCTATTTCATGATATTTTCAGGGTGTTGGATACGGTTGGAATCTTCCTCCGGGTTCAGTAGGTGGACCACCTTTCCCTCCGTCAAATCCACCACCCCCACCACCTCCTGGCCATGGTAATGATTTTGGAGGAGGCGGTAACGGAGGAGGTGATATTTGCTGCCTAATTTCTATCTCGTATCGTCGAAAATAATCATCTGCTTTTGAGGTCATATATACGAGGTACCAAATGTTCCATCTCAGCCTGAAGAATTCAGCAATCCTATGCCAAACGCTGTGTAAGTGGCTTTTTTTCTGTAGCCTGCTTTCGCTTCCGAGCTTTGTGGGATAAACGGTATCTTCAGGCCACCAGCAGGAGTAATTCAGTTACCGAAGATTGGACCAAATGGCTTACCTATCTATCCAGGTCAGGATGGTCCGACATATCCACAGCTGAGCCAGAGGGTACGGTTCAAGATTCTCTGTTTACAGGTTTTATTCACAAGTATTGGAGGTCGTATAATAGCCTCTAAAATTACTTATTATTTCAGAAAATTTGGTCAAACGCGATACCTCCCATAATTAAAAAATGCTCCTCTTACTGTGTGCACCGGCAAAATAATTATTCATCCATTCAACTTGCGGGGCACTAAATAAGCATTTGCATCAATACTCTATCTGATTAGTTTACGATCAAATCCAGTGAACCTAGAACCTAGTCTATTTCAGCCGTGTTAATGTCACTGAAATAGACTAGGTTAGGAAGGCTATGACGGAAAACGCAGGGTATGGGGTTTTTTAATACTCAACGTCTTTTAGGGGTACAACTTTCATGAGAACAATAAGCAGCCACCAAAGTTAGGAGCTCCAATGTTTTCGTTTTATTTTGGAGACCACAAAGGAGAACAGCATCTAAATAGGCTCATATATCAACACCCAAATGACTTTGACTAGGCGGTCGGATATTGCGGTAGCAAAACCCATGTAAAGCTTGCAGGCCAGAGATGACATTGGGCTAGTGGACTTGATGCAACCTTCTATGGTCTTATATTAAGATTTCTCATTAGTCTGTGTCAAACGTAGTGTAAAGCAATTGTTCTCTCTATTTCGAAAGCTTCTTTGTGATTTCACTCTCGACCACTTATCATCGCTTGCCGTGGGTTTTTCTAGGTTGTTAATGTCTCAGCATTTTGCCAATGGTCACGATTCGTGGCTGTTCTGTCTTATTAGATAAGATATCTGCTTTTGTAAAGAATTCTGCATTCATATCCATCGACGTCACCTACATTTTTCTCTAGACCCATTTGTTTCTGAAAAAGGAGTAGGAAACTTTGGGATTGTTGTGATCCATTTGTCACTGTTCCATGCTAGTGGCATGTGAGGATGAATGGAGGAATCGACCCGTGGATTCCTCCATCCTCGCATGATTCCTTTTATAGGAATATGACGAGCAGAAATATTTGGTCAACTTTCATCCTAGTCTGCACACTTTTTATACTCTCAAGAAAATTGCTTTTGTTTTTTTCGACGGCAGTTACTCTTGGTAGTACATATTTGAACGAGTTGCTTGGAAATTTATTCATCAAGTGTAGGAGCAAAGCTGTTTGTTAGATTTCGGAACTTCATTGATACGTATTAAGTACAACAGTTTGCAAATCGCATGGGCTCCCCATTTATCATCATTGTAGGATAAAGGTTGACGTCATCAAGAAAGGTTACAGTTAAGGCTTCACGATTGAGACTTTATCGAGTCTTTTCATTCGCATTGAGTAGTTAACCCCAATCTTTGCAGATTTTCAGTTCTACTTGAATGCCACTGACAGTTGCTATTCCCATTTCTCACTTTGTAGAAATCTTCCCAATAGGTTTGTTACCCACGAATCTTATGCCCCATTAAGCAGTTACCGAGCAGCAGCTGAAACCCTACACTTTCTCTTGAGATAGAGGTTTAGTTATAGGAGCGTTGTAAGTCCGTCCTTTGACTCGTACTGGGAGAGGATAAAAAATAAAAGGGCGCATGTCGGTATTGGGAAAGGGAACGCCTCCCACGCTCAAAAGCTTCAAAACACCTCATCGCTCGTGGATACTGGCTAGCCTCATCAGTCGAAATTACTGTATTTTGGTTATTTAGCATTTTTTATTCTTGAACAAGTAATTGGCAACTGTGAGACATCGAGCTCTCTTGAATCGTTCAAAGAGATCGTTCTAAAATAAAATTTACTTGAAAAATTGTTGGATAGTAATTTAGTATTGAGAGGTAGAAGTAATAATGTTATTAATAGAATGTTATTCGTTAGGCTATCCACCGAGCAATGCCATTTGAAAATTATATGCTTTGATGTAGTCCTTCATCTGCCGTGGCTGTCATTTTGCTGACCAGTCTTGGCTTTCGTCGTTAGAAAGCTCATTACATTACTTTCGCTTCACTAGAACCCCTTCAGTGTTATGGGCTCATAAGATTCGAGAGCTTACCACATTTGGCTCCATCTGAGCATAACTATACTGTCTTCGCTGCCTTTTCTTTGACGTCTCATTTCCAGAAACCGATAGGCTTGAGTTTTAACAAAATTATTTGGCCAGTAGTTACTTCTGTTTTCTAGAAATAATCTTACTTACTATGAAGCGCTTCGTCTGTCGTCTGTCGTTATGTATGTCTGTCATGAAATTCCTTAGCTCCTTCAGATCTGCCTGGAGAGACCGGATCAAGCGTGGGATCGGTGGGCCATATCCCGAGAAGTTTAAAGCACTCATAAGCTTGGCCGAGCCCTGTCCACAGTGGGCGTGGCGTGCATCGAAATGAGCAGTACTGAGGACCATGGTTTCAAACTCAGTCACAAGACGGCTTCAAAACTGGGGTTTAAAGGTGGCTAGAGGTGTGCACTGGTAAGTTAGATTGAATTGGGGAGACCCACTACCGATGGGCGGGGCGTTCTCCATAAATGCAATGCTTTATGAAAACATTTTGGAAAATCATAACTTCTGTCCCCGTGGACCTAGAATGTTCAAGTTGGTAGGAGTGCAGGCGACAGAATGGAAACACTTATGGTGGGTGGCACTACCAGACTTCGCCCACAGGGGCGGGGTTTGAGCAGAAACTCAAATCCGATAAGAGTCCATAATGGAAATCAGCTCATGTGGCCTCGTCCTCATGGCTAGAGCCCCTAGCGCACGCGATAGCGTGCGTGGCCTCCCGGTATTAAAAAAGAGGAGCATATCCGACGATTTCCTCATGCCGATTAGGAAACGCTCTTAAGCTTTTTCGCTTTCATATTAATCTTTGTGGACTCTGATATTAAATTCCTAGCTTCCCAACGAAATCCTCATCAAAGTGATTCTTCTCGAGCGGCTACCATAGCCGGTTGCTGAATGTGACAGCTGGGCGTTAGTTGATCCGACCATACTCAAGGCGCTCGTAACTGTCTGCATAATACTCATCATTTGGTAAGGCTTCAGCCCCGTACGTATTTTCAATTTGTGAACTGAACTGTGGGAATTTTTGGGATTTGGAGAAGTTTGGACCATAGATGACGCCAATACAGTGCTCATTGTCGGTTGCGAGATCGAATACCGTCCGAGGTGATGGTCTCCTCCGATCCTCCAAGATCATTTGCCTAGCTGGAAGGATGGAATGAGCTTCTTATGAAACAGCATCACGTTTAGGGAATTTTTCAGATTGTCGTACAACAGATTTCTACAAAGTCCGTAGCTCAGAGGTGTGTTGAATTGGCTGACCCTCCGAAGCGTTATAATAGACCAAATGCGCACCGCAGAATCCACTGTGGTCCCGAATATGAGTGAAGTACGTTCTGGGTCCGGTCTTCGGCGGATTAGTTTTTCGTTTTTTTTCCCCTCCTATTCATGTTTATTAGGCAGGATACGCTTCTTAGATTGAAGTAGAGAATAGAGTCTTTCACGTTGATCAATCCCGTCCTTGGGAGAGCCCCCACATCATCGAACATAAGATCGTAGTGGCATTTCGAATGTATGTGTGGCTTATACAGTGAATGTAGTGGCCGGCAAATGTACGAGTCAGTGCTTTAATCTTCCTAGGCGAGTCTGATATTAATGAAGTGACCCTGGAAGGATGGAAGGATTTTACTTAAACGAGTACCGATCACGAATTCAATCTTCAGCTCAGGCTTGCATGATACTCGTCTACTGATACTTGCTCTGCCCCTCTCCGGCCGTTTTTGGCTTTTTTGGATACTTATGAGGAATTGATAAAAGATTCACAACTTAAGGAGAGCTCTCAATGATTTCGGTCGGCATTATATGCTTTGAAGAAAGCTCTCCCCAGACTGAAAACCTTTTTATGAGAAACCCCTAGTAGCTTCCATTCTGAAGACGGCATACCCTTTTACAACATGCTAAGAATTATGGCTTATGAGTAAACTATGAGTTTGTTGCCATAAGGATCGGCTGGATCACCTTTCCGTGCGTAAATACTAAGCCTCGTGGATTTGCCGCTGACAATTCGCCATTTGTCTTGTCTGCGAGTTTTTCGTTAGCCCCTGTTCCATAGCCTGGCGTTCAAGAATTCACAGTGCTGAGCGGAACCACCTCAACGTCTGTTCGGCTACTACTGCTGTTTGTTCTCTATTTCCAGACTCGAATCCGATGCTCTTGCTTGAAAAACCAGCTGCGATCAGCTTTTGAGGGACGGAAATGCTATTCTGTTTAGTTACTTTGTGTGTTTATTTCTATATTTGCCCTTTGACGGGGACTTGAAGCTCACGTATTCAGCAGATAATACCACTAATTCTGCAGTGTGCAGCTTGCAGTGCGTAATTGTTAGTCAACGTCCCCTCCTCTTCCCACTAATCCTCCATCGTTCCGGTTATTTACGACGTAATGACGGATCGGCGAGATGATACACTGTGATATTCTTTTCGGACCTCCATCTTCGGTCTCATCTTCATTTTCTTCCTCAGTTTCATCAGGAAAAGAGCTCATCAAGGAAAGAGCTTTCTAAATTGCACTCCCCACGAAGCCCCAACAGTGAGCTGTCTAAAGGTTACCTCCTTTTCTTGTGGCCTTTCTGCGCTTTTTTCATACTCTGTATAGGCCTTTTCTGATAAGCCTTAATCCTTGGAGGTCTGTCGTTATTGCTAATGGACTTTTTCAATTTCTATCGCACTGTTTGCTCCTCCTTCGGGTAAGGCGAACCTCCTGATTGGCTCGGCTTTGTGGGAGCAGGCAGACGGGACAATATTCGGGAATCTGTTGGGAGTGACGGATTGGGTGCTGGAAGCCTTCTGTAACTCGCATTCGTCAAGGATGGTTTGATTTACCTGTTTGATCAACTTCCTTATGAGAATTCACACTGACGACTGACGGTTTTTGAGCCTGCTGTTGACTCTGAAGGGCTCCTCAGGTCTGCCAGCAACATGGGCATCGGTGTTGTTTGAAATGTTTGTGTTTTCGCTTCGTGTGCAGGGGCTCACTCTACTTTTGACGACTTCCTCCAGCTGCTTCATTTGATTCGCCTCATATTTCACACAATCGCATTTGAGTTTGGTCTCGCATCCTTTTCGAGTTCGTAGGCCGTGGTGACATCGGCGAAGTAATTTGCTTTCGCCTCG